CCCTCCCCTCCCCTCCCCTCCCCCTCCCCTCTTAAACCCTCTGCCTGAAGGCACTCCAGGAGGCTCTCCACGCCGAGAACACCTTGCTGGAGCGCGAGGCCACTAGACCCGGAGTCAGCTTCTTGGGGTTGTTTTAGCGTCCTACATGCATTTACAGGATTTTAAAGTTGGCTTTTGAGGGTCCCGTTTGCGTTTTGTCTGGGCTTGAAAGGGCCTTCAAAGGGGTTTTGTAATGTTTCGGAGGGTTTGTTTACCGGGTTCAGCGTAGGTGCCCTGGTAGTACCCTCATATGCTTGTTCTCGTTCTGTTTTTAGCAAATCAAACCTCTCCAGTGAAAAAAATGTACTTAAGGTGCTGCTGCGGAGCCTTGCAATACAACCTCTTGCTGAAGAATTACTTCGAGAGACACCGGACACAATTCGACATACTTTCCTACATGGCAAGTTCTTTCGGGTCTGAGAACCCTCACCCTAGAAAACTTACCTTTTTAAGGACTTATATAATAAGGAAAAGGTAATTGCCTGAGGATACGAGCTTTGTGAGGGCCTGGGATTGAGGGCCTTTTTATGGGTGCCTTTATGGCTTTAAGGGGTCTACGTCGAGGGCTGGGGGATTCAGGCTAAGGATTGCAGCTTTTAGGGTTTAGGGCTCAGGGTTAGGGCTTGGAGACCTGGATGGGAGCACGCCTTGCCGGAGTTCAATATTCAGGCTGCTCAAAAAAAGCCAGTCTGTGGTGATAGTTTGATTCGTTTTCGTTATGATGTAAGAACCATTAAGAACTGACTTAACTAGTCTATTTCTGATATATAGACCCGTTGACGATGTGAGAACCATTAAGGGATGACTTAACTAGTCTATTTCTGACATATAGAATCGTTTATGTATCCTAACCCCAAAGCCCAAGACCCTAAACCCTTTATGTATGATGTAAGAACCACGAAGAGCCCCTAGAGCTCCGGTCTTCCTACAAATTATTCAGGCCCGTATGTTAGGTCTTTGGGCTTGGCGGGCGGAGAAGGCTCAGTGGTTATGAAGGTCAAGATTCAGGGCTTCACACTCCGGATAAGGGTTCGGCGTTTAGGCTTAGGGTTTACGGTTGTAAATTCCTTGGAGCCCTAAACCCCCTAAACCCTACACCGTTTCGTTTCGGAGCTGTTGCTTCAAGTGCAAGCGAAGCAGGGGCTCAGTAGGTTGTTGTGTTCGAGTCGTTTTGGAACAGGGCGCAGGAATTTCGTACACAGGGTTTAGGGGTTTAGGGTTCCGGCACGGGCTTTCAGAGCTGATACTGAGTCCTCCAATACCCAGCCTTTAAACGTTTTTGGGTTCTTATAACTTAGTAGTAATCTGAAAGTTTAAGCTTTTATTTCCCTGGTTTATAGGGGACGCATAAGGATATAGAAGCCTATAACTAATTACCAATATAATTCCTTAGGGTTCCTTTTATAAGCGCAGTATAAAGGAGGCCGAAACCCTCTTCTAATTTTTAAGGCCCCTACATTATGGGCCCGGATTACGGATTCAGAGTGTGAGGGCATGTCGTGTGTTCAGCGGCTTCAGGATTTTTCCGAGCCGGGCTTTCGAGACGAAGGGCCTTCTATGGGTTCTGTGAGGGAACCCACAGACCACATAATCTTAACATAGGGGCCTTAATAATTACAAGAGGGTTTTGGGCTCCTTTGTACAATAATTAGAATAAGGAGCCCCAAAATAGTATTGGTAGTTATTTCGGCCCCTACATTAGATGGACTGGCCTTGGCGTTCTTCCGGTTGGCTCTTAGGACTTTAGCTTTGTGGGGGTATCTATATGAACTATAATAAGGATGCTGCAAGTTTAAACTTTTAGGCGTGGTTCAGAAGGCAGCGAAGTTTGTAAACAGACCTCGCAAAGGGAACTAATAACTTTCCGAGCCTCAAGCTTACAGGTCGAGCGCCAGCGCGCCGAAATCCAGGTGCTCCCGGGCCGGCGGTGTCCTGCATAATATAGGGGCCAAAATAATTACCTATACTATTTCGGGGTTTCATTATTATAGTATAATATACCCCGAAACCCAATTCTAATCATTAAGGCCCCTACATTAGCATTTCCAGTCATCCAATCAGAGAAGGTCGTTGTCCTTCTCCTCGTCCTCGTCGCCAGCGTCGTCGTCGCCGAAGTCGTAGCAGTCGTGGTCGGCGTAGTCGTAGTCGTTGTAGTACGTGTAGTAGCAGCAGTAGTAAAAGCAGTAGTAACAGTACTGGTAGCACTAATAGTAGTGCTGGTGGTGGTGCGAGTAGTAGTGGCAGTAGTAGTAGTAGTAGTAGTAGTAGTAGTAGTAGCAGCAGCAGCAGTAGCAGTAGTGTAGCAGCAGCAGTAGCAGTAGCAGCAGCAGTAGCAGTAGTAGCAGTAGTAGTAGGAGGAAGAGGAGGTGGTACATAAACTTGTCATAGCCATTCTTTGCTGTTCTTCCCCTAACTTGAAACCTGAACTGTGCTGTTGGCTTACCCTCAAACTCCAACCTGATCTCATAGACCCCAAAACCGAAACCCTGGACGTTTGCAGTGGGCTCTCGGATTCTGGCGAAGTCGCAGCGACGACAGGAGTTGAAGTCTCGGCCGCGTGCTGCAGCGACTCCGATGCCACCCGGCTGGAGTTTAAGTTGATATAGGGTGCTGCAGGGTTACGTGAGGCTCTGACTAGGAAATTGTACAATATTATTAGGGCTCGACGGTGTTATAGCGTGCTTCAATAAGGGGTGTGATTGTGATTTTGCAGGGTATGAGCTCCTGCAGGGCTTTATAAGGCTTCGACAGGCTTCTGTAAGGCATCGTAGGATTTTTTTGCTTCATAAAGGTTTCACAGTGTTAATGTCGGCAAAAAAATGTGTGGGTGTGTGCATATATATATATACATATTTAGATGTATGCACGTATGTGCAAGTAAGTACGTATGTATGCATGCATGCATGCATGCATGTATGTATGTATGTATGTATGTATGTACGTATGTACGTATGTACACATGTACGTATGTACGTATGCACATAAGTACATATGTGCGTATGTATGTATGAAT